ATTTTACCGAATAATCACTTGCAATAAATAAAAAAACTCAGATCATTCGTTGTTTTTAGCAATGCTCTGATGCTTTTGTTTATTTAGACCGCATTGTGTCATGTCCAATATAACATTTAATTTAAAAGTTTACATTGTGGAGGCTCCTTTTCAGTTAAACATGTACATGTTACTTTATTTATCATAATATCTAATGACTGTTTTTTGTGGTTTTATTTCAAACTGACACTCTACACTTTAGCTTTACTGGGGGTAAGGACCTCAGGTGCGCCTTTGTGCATTATTTCAGGCAAAATGTTGCAACTGCAGAGAACCATCGACATTTTAAACTAGCTTGATATGTATTCCACGTGAAAGAATCAAACGTCTCTGGCAGTTTTCAAATTCACAGCAGTTCAGTGCAAGTGATTAAAATCAGTAAACATAAACAGCTCGGCCTCGGTCGGACATACCTGTCTAATATTTTTTCAACAAAATATGTTAACCATGGTCTTAAATGTCAGCTGTACAAATAAGCAGTTTTTTTTTATAAACTTCTGGCATGAAGTTAAAAGATTACAAATATTGAATTTATTATAAAGAGAATAACATTTAAATTTCTTGTTGATATGAAATATTTCCTTACTCTCCAAGATCACATTTTACTTTGATATTTCGTTAAAAAAAGTATGCGTGAGTTGTGTGAATAGCAGAGAATTTTTTTAATGTAAACATGGGGTAATCTTCTTTGAAGTATTTTTCTGAAAACAAATTGTTTTATGTGTCAGGCAATTCATTATCAAATAAAAATCACACTTTAGTATGAAGGTATGTAAAGATGTCATGTCTCTAGTCTGTGGAAAATTCAATGCGATAATATGGCCTAAATTTTCTCATTTATATAGGGAAAACTTATTCAATACTATTGAAACATCATGTCGCGCATATATCTGTATCTTTATCGGTACCTTTGCAAAACGGACACCTTCTTTACAAAATAATTTGTAGTTTTAACATTTGTAACTCGATTTAAAAAAAAAAGTTTATTAATAAAGAAGAATGATACTATAGTGCGAACATCTAATTAATTTCCAGAATTCCGTAGACCTGTTCTCATCGTCGATAAAGAAATGCAAGCGGTAAAGTTTCTCAGCGCTGAACATAAAATGACTGAACGAAACGCATACCTTACTTGCAACTTAACCATTTATAATATAATTTTTTTTAAAAAATAATGTTCAGATTACATGACCAGTTTCCCTTATCATGTATTAAAAAGGAACAATACTTTATTTCAAATACCGAATTTAAGTTTCAAATAATAAAGTTCATCTGTTCCCATCGATTATAAAGAAAATTAATACAATAAAATCGGCACGTAAAAGACATAAGTAATAACGGCATTGTAGCAAATTGTTGTTAATTATAAGTAAAAAAGGAAGCCATGCAATTTGCGCATTAGTTTCGAACTCACGAGAACAAGTTTATAAGCATGCTAAGGTAACACTAAAACACGCATATGGGTGTGCGATCACGTGTTTACACCTTTTTCGGAATTTGTAAATGTTTAAAAGAGGTGCTAAAAATGAGACCGAATACATGAAGCCTTAATAGAATTTTTATTACACTTTCCATTTTCGTCGGACCAATGAGTGACCTCTGCTCTCGACATAAGTTGTGCACATTCATGATGATTAAAAATTCGCAGACAAAAAATTTTGTTGAACGTTATTAGTATATTTAACGCATAATTTAATAGGTGAACCAATATGCAGCCTGCAATGAAAATTCAACTGCGTCGTATCATATTTCATTTTCAAGTGCGTCGTATCATTTCGCACAATTTATGATTTTCTTGAAAAATTAATGAAATTTTAGTAAATGATTGAAGTTTATGGTGAACTCTGAAACGAGTCTATGAGTAATTTGAAGGAAAAACGGTAGATAAAGCGATTTGAACTGCATCTTCATAGACATTTTGCTCCGCTTCGAGATGCAAGTTCGCTATAACTTTTGCTATACAAAATAGTTGTGCAAGCTACATATACCGAACGAAGCGGAAAATAGTGGAGCGTGTTAAAACATATATTGGTTGTCAGTCATATTCAACAAAAAGAGTTATAAACAAAAACATATCTTTTTCGTTCCAAGATGGCGGCGTTTGTTATCATTTTGTAGGATACGACGCAGTTTTGATTCCCAGCCCTGATGAATAAAAGTAAAATTTGTCCGGTTGAAATAAGTGCACGAAAATTTTGTGCGAGTACAATTTGCCCACACCTTGAACTACTACAAAAGCTTATAGGCCATGTAAATATTTTCTATAGCTTTATATTTTCAACCAGAACATAATTATATTATTTTTATTTAGATATATTTATTATTTAGTGTGTTTTATTAATTTATCTGTTCTTAACATGTTATCGTCCCTAAAGTCAGATACAGTTACTCGTATTTTCTTCAAAATTGTCTTCTTACAGACGTAAGAAGACAGTTCGCTAGATCAAACAACAATTTAACCTCGGTTTCGCCTCAGACAACTGTGAGGAATTGTGAAAGTTTGAACATTCTAAGACGATATAAGAGATTATCAATTACAAAAATACATATAATGCTGTTTTTATGTTAAAACTATGTTTGTTTCGTTTTTCTTCAGGAAGGAATATGTTACGTGTTACGTGTTACGATATGGGAGACAACTATGTCATGTTTACTTGTGAACATAACACATGAGTTACTGTTATTTGTGTTACACAGACATATTGTAAAGACGCGCTACGCGTAAATGAAACGGGATTCTTTTACATTTAAACAGTCTTTAATTTGGAAATATGATAAATAGAATATTATGTTAGTGTAGGTTAAAAACTTAATTTATTGAACTCGATCAATTTATTCAAGACAAACCATATAGTTCGCCGAAGGAGAAGAATTCAATAAGACTCGTCTTTCATTTTTATCCTTTAAAATTATGTATCTTATTGTGTATTTACATGTACATTATAAACACTTTTGGGAATAGATATGTTTAAACCAATAAATTCAGTATTGAACCTACACTCATCCAATATCCTTTATCTAGGAATAAACATCTAAACCAATTTTTTGGTTGTTATTTCTTATGACACCAAAACACTTTGTAAAAGCCCAACAGAAAATGGCGGTTCTATAAATAATTTATTTCAAAGGATACTGCTAATAGTAATTAATCCTCCTCAAAACTTTAATACATTGAACTTATTTTAGTTCGATTGTACGGGATGCTTGCAGCATATAGACACACTTTCGACTACGTACTATAAGGCACCTAGTTCTGAGTAATGACATCAAATTTTCTAACTCAAGAAAACAACGGCCAGTCCCTGACTAAGCACTTTGTAATACCTGCACGGTGTATTTTACTTTACAAAAGGTAATGTATCCTCTATCAAAATTTAAACGGATTGTGTAATTAAGCAAGACAATTAAAATAGAACCGTTTCTTTAAAATTTTTAAGAAAATTATTTAGCCGTATACGTGAAAGAAAATATCTTTAATTTGATAAGAGATATCAATATTTGAATCAAATAAAAAACGATCTGCACGATTTTAACTACGGGAAATGTCGATCGAATCACCCTTATGTTCTTATAGTCCTACATTTGTCATGCGATTATTTCATCACTGATGAAATTTTCGTCATTTGACGATACATTATCAAGGTATTCTAACATAATTCATGAAATTATGCTGAAATATAAATATAGCATTTTCTGCTGTTAATATATCAAACAGTTTAGTTTAAACATATTTTATTCATAATCATACACAGTACATAATATACAATCATTCAATATATACAATGATGAAATGGATTAGAACGAAAGATATAAAATCTTATATAGTTCTTCTCCGACTCTATTTTGAATTAACAACAAAGTGATGGCATCAATCTACTGAGACAATGTGTATGAATTCATATACATATATTAGATATACATATGTTAGAGAAAAAAAACCTTAAGGATACATACATATTCAGACATATATAATAAATTGGGGGAATTAGTTGTAATTATAACAATATCCTAGCACATTAGGAACTGACTTGCTTTGGCTGGTTCTGGAGAATACAAATTTAATGGTAAAAAAAAACGACTGTGATAATGAGTTCAAGATGTTTCAATAAATCATGTTTCGAACCTCTTACTTAGTCAGACAGTTTAGATAAGGAAGGACACGTCTGCTTTGTTAAAAAAATAACATTCATGCTTCCTTCTTCTAAGGTAGAGATTCATTGCTTATATTATATGTTATTTTGGTTTTGGAGTGATATATGTGGATATATTACCTGTTAAGATTTTATATCACCCGAGCCGTTAGGCGAGGGTGATATTTTATCTTGGCAGGTAATATATCCATATATATCACTCCAAAACCAAAATAATAATTTTATTACCCTTCCCGTAACGAGTTAAGACGATTTTAAAATAAATAATTGCTACTTCAAATGAAACGACGAAATAAGATTCCCTTTAGGATACCCCTTCACCATAACATGACGTCACAAATACATGACGTATTATCTTTCGAACATAACGGATGTAAACAAAAGAAAAGGAGTAGTCTGTTGAACGCACTTTTTTGGAACTAATATCAAGCTTTCACGAGGTCATATTTGTTTCCTATACTGACGAGAATATGTATCATTACTCTATTTTGGTAAATATTTATCACTTGACAGTTTAAAATTGCTTGTAAATTGGAATTTATATCACGTAAAATCAAACCGTACGCGCATCGCACGGCGCATGTTGTTTACAACGTGGGGTACCCATCGGGGAAATTTAATGTGTATATTACCCGTCTGGCTCGGTAATATCAATTTCTTTCGGGTGATCAATATCCAATCAAAAAGGCGGAAAAAGTCTGGAAGGGTAATAAAAGAATTTACGATTACACATACGTGAATAGTGATATTTTACTAATCTATTTGCTCAAAAGAAAAACACTTAAAAACTAAATTGGAAAAAAACTGACACATTTGAAACGTTTATATTTGACAAAGCCAAAGTTTTCCTTCTCCACATGATGTTATTCATTCAAAACAATTGATTGTTAGTAACATAAGTCGAGCATTATTAAAAAGCGTTTACAAATATTATTGCGTTTGTCATTATAAAATGCCATTCTTAAAAGACAAAGGCCTTTGCTGTCACATATATTACAGCATTTTGCCTTTATAAAATGCTATTCTAAAAAGCGAAAAGCCTTTGCTTGCACATTATCACAACTACATGCATAACAGCATTTTGCCACTATATAATACCGTTTTAAAGAGTCAAAAACCTTTCCTGTAAAATATATTATAAACATTTTGCAAGTATATAAAGTATCGTTTTATAGAATCAAACGCTTTTGTTGTCGCATATATTACAACATTTTGTCATTAAAAATTTCCGGTTTCATTTGCCGCCAAACGTTTGATAATAATTTAAAGTATCGTTTGAAGAGACGACAAACATCCTCCGGATTAAAGGTTAAACACAAAGTCGTGTATAGAGTTGAACATTCGGATTGAATTGGACTGCACTTGGAGCAGCATCCTTTGCCATATTAAGACTCACAGATGATCTGGTACACATATGTACACCATTATCTTTCCATGCCTCAAACGAGGAGCAGTTAGGATCCTCAGCACAAGCTGTTTCGCAGTCATTTGGACTTGAATATATTGTAGCTTCTTCAATATCGTTAAAATTGACAATGAACTCTTTCTTTATCTCTTGAAACGTGTCTGACATAGAATTGCACACTGGAAATAAAACGGTTAAATTATGTAAATGTCAATCGTTGCTGATATTTCAAAGTAAGTGGCAAAAGTAGACCTTCCTAATTAACTTAGTTTGTAAATAGATATTGCCTTTAGAAGTTAAATTGAAGAATCTTGGTTTGCCGCCTGTTTCGGTAATACTTTATGAAAATTATAATAATGAACATAAAATGTAAAAAAAGTGTTTGTTGATTTAAAAACTGTAATCAAATTATCGTTAATTTCCTCCCCGTTTTTAGTATCATTCTGTTTGACGTGTTTCTTAGTGCTTCCAATCCAGTGCACCGATTGACAGTGATGTGTGGTTTTCCTTCTGGTGACATTTAGATCTCATCGAAAAATAACAATGTACAAGTTAAGATTCAGTGCTCTTTATTCTGACAGAAAAACGGTAGACAAATTTTGCTGAGATGAAACTCAAACCAAATGCATAAGAGGGGAACTTAAAGGCGACCAATATAACAAAATTGGAAATGTTGCTCGCTCGTTTCCATGCTTATTCATTTCCCCTTAACATTTGATAACATATAATTTAGAAATATTTGCAGATATCTTTACATTGCGTACATCATAGAACCTTCAATACGATACTTCCATTTTATAAAAAAATCTAAAAAGCTTTGTCAAGGTATAAAAGAATGCACATGTATAAGCCCTTAATAAAATACAATGGGTGAAATGAGATAAAAAACAATTAAATTTTGAGAAGGGATTACTAACCTTTTAGACAGTTTTTGTAAGAAGTGCTGTATCTGTACAGTGGATGACAGAAACATATTCCTTCAATACATCTTCCTTCTGTTTCAATACAATCAGCATCTGTGCCACAACTACTACCAATTGTAGGTCCTATAGGAAAGGCTGTGCTAGTTTGCGCCGGAACTAAAGATTGTCAGAGAAAATGTAATTAAAGGCAAAGAGTTTATTTACATAACGGGATAGAACAATGTACGAGATTAGTGTACCTTCTGATGTAGGTATGGACCAATAACTTATGTTTATTTTTTCAGACCATTCGCTCATTTTTAGCTAGACTATTCGTAGAATGAGAAGTATTATCGCACTAAACCATGTGTAGGCGTACGATTTGGTTAAGTTTTTGCATACAAGTTTGAGTCACCAAAACTACTGCAGGGAGTGGGTTGAAACATCACGCATAAATGTAAGTCACTGTAACTCTAGCATGAATTGTAACATTGTTATGGTCCTTGTTAACATATTCCGGGTTCTTGTTTTACAACCAAGCACTGAAAATTTTCGAACATAATGTCCTACTTCCAAAAATAATCATTTTAAACGCTGTTAACTCCAATCAAGGATAGAGTATACTCTTTATAATACAGTGCAGTTTACGTTTGAATTATCCCAGTTGATGTAAAAGATCTTTTAAATCGTATTTCTGTTTTCCATGTAAATTGAAATAACTATTGCGTATTTCTATATGTAATTCAAGTGAAATATCTTTGTACAAACCGTCAAAAAAAGTTTCATTTTATCAGGTGATAGAAAGAATCTCATATCCATTCTCATTAAATGTTGTAATTAAGGATAAAACAATGCTTAAGTGAAATTTTATATACATGTATTTATATAACTATTCTTCTAAAACAATTTTTTAACATCCAAGAAATATGTTACATAATTATGTACTGCAAATTTGTATACGCATTATAAGTAATCATTAGAATATACGCATTCATTTTTCGTTTAAAAATTTGGCTTAGACTTTATCGGAATTAAATTTCCTCCATTATTAATCTGAAATGTAAATTCGATAATATCGTTATAAATATAGCTTTTTTGGAGCTAACAATATCGATAAATTTTCAATATTGCATCATAATTATTAATGATATAAAACCATAAAGAAAATTGGATTTACAGGATCTTTAATGTAAAATTCAATAAAATCTATTAAATTCTCTATTAAATTCGTCCAACGCTTTACATGGCTAGCTTTTTTATTATTCTTGAATTCGTTTCATAAATTTACATGATATTGCAACCCATGTGTGATAAAAAACATGTATTCCGTTTGTGTGCACTTGAATTTAAGGCCATTGTCTCAGCTTAACACATACATTAATGACAATACCGCGGGCATTTTGTACCAAAGATGAATGTAGAACATTAATTGTCTTATTCAGACCATCGTATCCCTTTATAATCCCTAAAACATTTGCACTGTTAAGCAAAATAAAGATATTTGATAATATACCATTTGTGTGTGATAATAAGGCCGGTGATTATCCAACTCAATTGCCTTGGTTAGTGTGCTATTCATCGAGACCTTATGCCAAAATGAATATTAACTAGGTCCTAAATCTCCTTATACTTGGATATTTACAGATATCTTCATACAATAATTGATTTACTATATGGCCACCATAGATTCTTTTTTCGGTATTTTTTCAAAGTCGTCCGAATTTTCAAGCAAAGAAGCGCTAAAAGGCAGACGAAAAACAAAGAGGTTGTTTTCCCGTTATCGGCATTCGATCCCTTTCTGTAGCGTACAAATGATCATTAGAAAACAGGCAAAAATGCTTTTTATTTCGTCCTGTCTGAATCTGTAATTTACGCATGATGTTAATTTTATGTAACGTTGATTTTGACTAACAGGAAGGTTAATATAACTTACTACTGAACGTTCATCGTAACACGGAGCAATTGGTAGTAGTTATTAAATAATATACTGTGCCAAGTATTAAAGTCCCTACCAACAATCAATGTCAAACACACTTAAAAGAAACACTGCATTTCATTCACCCTAAATTACCTATCAAAATATTTACTATATTCCCGTTTACACTTACCAGTAATACATGAACTGTATTCATTCCAAACTCCAGTGTCCAGGCACACAGCAAACGGGCCATTCAACGCCGTGTAACCCGCTTTACATTCATATCGGATTCTTTTTCCGACTCCCCTCTGGTTACCAAGAATGACACCGTCTTGAGGGATTGTCACATTAATACATTTCTACAAAACATACTAGAATAATATACTTGTTATTTATAATATCTGTATTTTGTAAAGACAGTTTCACTTTCGGAAACTATTTTGATAAGAAACCC